ATAAGTAGGGCTGTGCCGATATTAAATATTGGATCGGATCGGCACCGATATTTAGCGTTTTCCAAAAATATCGGATCGCGATACCTGTAAAAAACCGATCCGATTTTTTACTTTTCTTTTTTATTTTATGTTATTTATTTTACGTTATTATAATATTTTCTAAATAATTTTTTTTAAACAATGCAAATGCACAACACCTTCTAAATTTTATTTCTTTTTTTAAATAGATTTATAGTATTTTAAAAGTTTTTTTATAAAAATAGAAAGAACACCCAAAGCTTTATTTATTATTTATATTATAATTATATATATGAAATTTTTTTTTATAAAACGATCTTATATATTCTTTTTGTATAGTATTTTATTATATATTGTCGGAAAAAAATAAATATTATTTTTGTATATATTTAATTTTTTTAAGTAACGAGTAGCCCGTTACTTATTGGAAAAGTCGGTAACGCGCGTTCCTTTTTTGAAAAGATAACGAGTAACGGTAACGAGTTCCTTTTTTCAGATGTAACGAGTAACGGTAACGCGTTTCTTTCTTGTAGTAATATTTACAGCACTAGTTATTTTATAGTAATCATCAAATGAGTCCAGTCTAGATGAAAGTCGAGGCTTGCAAATCTCAGAATCATATAATTTCGCTTTCGCCTCAATAATAACATAAATTTCGTGAAATGGTCTATATCATCTCTTATTTTTCTAAGTTGTAATATAATAATATTCGCGATCTCATAGCCAACCAAATCCATATATTTAAAAAAATATTACATATACTTGGGGTGGTTAATTAAATAAATTTACATTCAAATGCGAAAAAAATGGAATCTAATATCTCTCGATTTATTTGAAAAGTATTTTTAAAAAACTTTGTTACTAACTATCAAAAATTTAAAATAAGTGCTCTCTAAAAAATAACTTTATTTTACACCCTTAGGCGGCTCCCTGCATTGCTTGTGCTTAAAACCGTCGCACAACATTATTATGGTTCCTTTTTCTAATATAATATGGTGCCATGTTTAATTTAAACAAGAAATTGCAAAAAGTAGATATTGGGAAAGTATTGATTATACACATCAGAGTGGTTAAAATGTACTTATTAAATGGATCTAGATCCCGATACACATATATCGTCGAAAACTGGATCTAGATACAGATACATCGTTTAAAAACGTATCTAGTTACTGATACATTTTTATTTTACTTATGTAAGGTGTGTATAATGCTTAATTTAGTATCTTATCGAGCATTAAATTTCGAAGTAAGTTAAAAAATTTACAGTGCTGATATCATATCTATACACAGGCATATAAATAAGATAATGATGCTTAGCTTCTAATTATTCATATACAAAATATTTAATTAAATTATATTAAACTTCTGTAGTGTTTAGAAAAATTAAATTATTGTTAAATTTTAATAATTAAAATTCTCAAAATTTGGCACCCCTAGTTTGTCTGTAGAGACATCTTTAGCCATACTGAACTCTTTCTATCGATACACTCGACGGCAGAGTGATTGCTATATTTAAATATATTGGTATTATCATTAAATGTATAAAATTTTGATACTCATTTTTAAAAAAATTATTCAAATGTTGAGTGTCAAAATTTATCAACATTTATATCATCTAAAGGGTGCCCAAAATATTTAATATTTTTGATTTATTTTGAGGGATTATCTAGAAATATTAATATAAAAATTATGATAATTAAAAATTAAATAAAATAAATTATAATAAAAAATTTATCATGTTGTTTACATTGCAAAATAAAATTGTCTGGTAATCTTTTTATAATGAAATAAACTCGGACATATTATTAAATGAATTTAATTCAAATATAAAAATAATTTATCATGTCTATAAAAAAATATCACAAATAATTACATTATAGTATTTCTATTATACAATATTTATTTAAACGAAAAACTAAATGGTTCTAAATATACATTGTAATGGATTAAATTAATCACCAAATTATTAAAATTATATATAACTTATTACATTTATAATTAGTGCAAATGTTTATATGAGAAAGAAGGGGGGGGGGGATTCTAAATAATTAAGGGAAGAAGAAGAAAATCTAGATTAATCGCCTCGGGGAATGAACCCATGAAGCATGTGAAATTAGTTTTTATAATCTGAATTCTTATACGTTGACGTAAGTAGACGCTTTCTTTTGGGCTCCTGATTTAGTTCTTAAGGCTCTGCCAATCTTTTTAATTATGTTAAGAGCCTTACTTCCAAAGGATGTTAAGGTTGTTCTAACAACTGGTACGAATTTATACTCATCAGGAATATCCACATATTTATTCGTTTTAAAATCTTATGTGTATTTTAAAATGTTTTTATTGATATTGGAGGGTGAGAGGGGGTCAACGCAGGAGAAATCCCATCCCACGCTAGATATCGGCCATTCTCCCAAGGAATTTGTGTAATTCCATCGGGTCGACCTCATCCGTAAAGAGACCTGGGGGTTCTAAAGTGGCAGGATAGCCTGCGGACTGTAAAGCTCGTTCTATGAGAGCAATGCATCTGTCATGCCGGATTGAGCGTCCACTGCTAAAGAAGCATTGGAGGCAATGACGACCAGTTTGACTTACTGGCTTATTGCACTTGGTGCACTTATATGAAACTGAGGTTGTCACAATTAAGCGAATGGCTACAGCAAAACTGAATTCTTGATTTGAAAGTTCGAGGTAAAGATTTTTAGAGGGGATGGCGTCCAAGTATTCATGTCCTGAACCTTGGTTGAATGAAGCTAATAGGGCATGATCTTTAGATAGCAGGGTCGAAAAGAGGTAATCAACGGACCCTGCAACCATCGGATTATCCCAATCCTTTTGTTTATTGGAGGTTGGTGGTTGACATTCATCTCCTGAGGCTTTCCATATATTATAGGCTTCGTCAAGCAGTGCATCTGGCAAGGACAGGTGATCAGTTATTATTTTGGAGCTTGCCAATCTGGACGAGATGAAATCACTAATTGATAAGGCTATGGGTGATCGTAACCCTATGCCTCCTTTATTGCAGGGGAGAGTGGCTTGAAGCTACGAATTGGAGTTAAATTTGAGATTAGTTATTTTTTCCATGATGCTTTTTATTATGGATTCACATGCTTTTAAGGGTTTAGGATGTTTAAAAACAGCAGTTGGCCGTAGAGCATATAGAATCTTGGGTATATTGAATTAATTTTAATTAAGAAGAAATATTTATGTGTGGGAAGTTGTATGAGTAGTTCCTTCATATTGTTTAAATTATTAGAAGTAGCTTGGAAAAAGGCTTCAACTGCTAAGTAACCTCCAACTGGTGAGCCAAGATGTGTTAGTTCTTCGGCCATAACCTCTTTAAAGGCGTGGCAGTTGGGAGATTGAGAGGTGAACTGACAGATTTATGTTTTGTCGATGTTTAAGAGATTGCCTATGTCTGGCCCATCTTTTTGCAAAATTTCTAGGGCTTTGTCTATCTCTTTTGGGCTGCCGCTTATAATCCCATCATCTATGTACCAGAGATGAAAATCTAACAGGCAGCTGCTTTTAATTTTTTTCTATTCCTAGAAAGAATAATATCGACCCTAGGGGATCACCCTGTTGAATTCCTTCTGAAGAAGAAAGCCTATATTCACCATATTGTAAGATGGAGGAATTCGCATAGTAGCTTAAAATGTAGCTGGAGTAGCATGGGAAACTATTGATGAAGGATTTTAGGAAGACAGACCGTTTTATTTTGTTGTATGCATTGTTAAAGTCAATTTTAATTAGGTGTTTATAGAGGATTATTTTAAAGATAGATGCGGTTATATGAGCGGCAAACTCACAGCCGCCTTTGACACCAACCCCTAGTTGAGTTGAAGTAAGAATTGTGGAGACTTTCTCATTGATTCAAGCCTAATTAATTGTGATACTAATCTCCTAAGGGTGCCTATGGCATTTGGGCATAGGTCTTTGTTGGGTTTTGTAAGAGCGATTAGTTTTGCTCCAATCATAATTGGTTGGGCGAAGATAGGATGTAAGATCCTGTTACAAAGGAGAGTTATACTGTTGAGTAGGGTAGTTTGAGAATTTAGAAGAGGGATGGTTAGGTCTTGAAGGTATATCGGTCCCATGCCTTCAAAACCATGTGCAGAATCTTTTTGAAAGGTTGAGATTGCTTTTCTCACTTCCTCTGGGGTAAATTCTATTGGATAAAATGTGCGATTTACACCAGGTAATTCAGTTGTAGATGCCTGATGTGGGGGGGGGGGGGGGTTCTTCATAGCCAATCGGATATAATTTTTAAAATTAATGGGGGCCAATGTGTCTAATGAAGAGGCCAGACGAGCCCCTTTTATATCTAAATTATCTAATTTTTAATATAATAAAACCTAAAATAAAATTTTATCAAAATCTATCTAAAATTAAATATAGATGCCTCTAAATACGTATCAAGATATAGATACTTTATAAATGTGTCTTTAGATACAGATACTATATTTTTTTTTATCTAGATGCAGATTTTCATTATTTATTTATGATATAAAAAAACTAATATTATTAATATTGTTATATGTACTGTCATGATAAAAATATAAGCTGCTATAAAAGAGGGTTTAAGTTTTTATTTGATAGAAAATTTATGTATAACCTTGATTAGTCTTCAAAAATCGTTAAGGCAAATCTAATTTGTTGCACAATAGAACAAAAAACACATAAATTACAATAAAATACTAAGATTGTAAGTATGGCAATATTTGCCTGAGAGGTAAAAAGGAATTCTTAGAGCACAAACGATAAAGGCTACTTATTACAACCATAATGTTGGGATACTTTAAAACACCTTTTATTATTTTTATAGTTTTAATAAAATTTTAAATTTTACTCATCATGTGCTAAAAGCTAAATTGTCAGCTTTATAAAAAATTCTTACTATTAAGTTAATTTAATATCTATATAGACTCTAATAAATTATTTGTAATTATTTTTATTATTGATATAAAATCTTGTTTTTTATTGACCATATAGTATATATTATAACAACAAATAGAAATCTATTCAGTTTTGAAATTAACCGGTTTCAGGAGATCTTAATCAAATATAAAATTATGAATGCTTTATACATATAAACCAGAGTATTCAGTATTGTAAAATCTAAATTGATTTAAAACATCGAAGTCCACATTGACTTGGGCAGCATTTGAAATGATTATTGATACCGCATCCCAAATCATCGTAACATAAATTACCTATGGAATTGCATTTATATAATTCATTATATTCCAAAATGGCAGGACATGTTCCATTCTTAACTTTTCCTGTTGTCAACGTATTTATGTTTCGATTCTTGTTATCCATGAGTAATAAATTGTTCTTGAATGCTACATTACTGGCGTTCAACTGGGATAATTTAAAATACACATCGAGAAAATTGGAAAATTTGTTTTGGGGGTCTCGCATAAATTCTTTTTTAGTATTATAAGCATTTTGTCTATAATCTTGGATATTGTTTTTTAAAAAATGTTTATTCCTATTCAAAAGACGGGTACGGGTATATGGAAGATAAGTTTGATGATTAAGTTTCAGAATTTGATTAAAATCAAGCTTTGCGTGGCTATACGAATTGATTTTTCTAGCCCTGTTAGCTATATTTAAATAATGATCATTATTATTAGGTGATAACAAAGGTTGCCATGTTGTAAAGTCCATATTTTCTAAATAATTTTTGGATATATGTTTAACACCATTATAATCTGTGATAAAATAATAATAAACATTGAGATATTTGATTAAATTATATAATATTACCACTGCAGCAAAAACCATAATCATCAAAATTGAGTCTAATATCGCATCTATAATTCGTAGGGCATGGGTTATGCATGTTGCAAGATACATTTGGTAGGGGATCCCTGCACAAATAATAAGCTAAAAAATAAAGTGTTTTTTATTATAACTATACAAGAATGTTATAAAATTAAGTAATATTTAAATGTGCAGTATAATAATAACATACGCAGTTTTGAAATCATTAGTTTCTCAGTTTTAGAAATAATTGATTGCGTAGTATTATATTCAAAATGCGCAGTTTTTTTAAAATTATATTTCTTTTAAAATAAAAATTAACCCATTAAAATAAAATATTTAAAATACATTTTTAAATTTTAACTCTAACTTATATATACCCAAACTTAACCCTACCCAGTTTCCTAAAATACCTGCTCGAGAAAGGGCTTTCAGAAAAAAATATATAAAATTGAGGCTTGAAAAATTAATAAATATTAACTGTTTAAATTAGACTAGTAAAATATTTATAAAATATTATTTAAAAAATTTTTAAACCAATAAAAAAAAAATTTTTTTTAAATAGCTCATTTCTATAAAGAAACTGCGCGTTTTGATTAAGAACTAAAAATAATTTTAAGTTGCAGAAATAGTGTATTCCCTAAAATATAATAATAATAATGATTAGAAATGTGAGCTCCATAAAGCAGGAGGACCCGGAATGAATACATTTTTGCATTCCCGTCCCTTTCCGTTCCCTTCCCTTTCCGTTAGAAAACATGTTGTTACTGTTACTCCCATCTTTTGGATATGTGGTCTAATAAACATGTTATTTTATTTTATTTATACCATTATTAATCTTTATAATATATATACCAATTTTTACATCCATGTAGGCATTCCATAGACGCCCACTTCATAGGATCTAGTTATTATAAATATTCTACAAAGTAGATAATATTAACAAATTACTCTAGAAGATTTTCATTTATATTATCCATTGAAATTTAAAATTTTATTAACAGAATTTCTTTTTTTAAATTATGGTAAAATAAATTAATCAAACTAAGTTGGGTTTGTAACTCAAAAATACTTATCAAAGTTATACTATAATAAGAATAAAAGACTTTTAAGGAAGAATATGTTATTACATTATGGTTAATTGGGAAAAAATTAAATCTTTGGAATAAATTCAAATAAATTTTTGGACAATAAAAAAAGGGATGCTTTTGGAAATAAATTTCAACATATAATTATACTGTTATATTATCATTAAACTTTGAACATTTCACTTTTATAAATGTTTCAATTTTTTAAACTATAACCAAAAAATAAACAAAAACTCAAACAATGGACCGGCGGCTGCTTGTAAAAAAACAATTTCAAAGTAAATGGCGGGTCGGTTGGTTTGAACCTATTGGAATGGGTGGATATAGTGGGCTTATGTTATAAAATACGTTATTTCAAAATTTTGCTCATTTTATAAGTGTATGTAAAAAATATATTATAATCAAGTAACCAAAAAAAATAAAGAACTCCAACCAATCAAATTTTATTTAGAACAACGGGTTGGTAGAAAAAATATTATTAAATCGATAAATAAGTGAGCGCTATAATTTTTTGGCAAAAAAATTGTCCGGTGGTTTGTTGAAATTTATATTAAAAAAATAATAAGCGGGCTAGTTTTAGGCCATTACCCGCCCTTAAAACATTTACTAATAAAATAATATCAATACAATGAGACATTTTAAAATAAATTAATCATCACCAGTATTACAGTGAACTATGTCTCATTTTTAAATATACAAAAGGGGGAAACCAACAAAGATTTTATATAATTTGACTTAAAAGGGGGAAGAAATTAAATAAGATTACTTTCATGTTTAAATATTACAAAAGATAGAAGATGGAGGATTATTTTCAAAGTTGGATGTAATGATCTAGTATTATTGATAAGTGGTTGTTCTGTATTTTGAACTAGTATTTAAATTTTATTTAATTATGTTTATTTCTAGATTCAATGAATTAAAAATTAACGATGAAATGGAAATTACTATATATTCTTAATTCATTCTATATTATTAATGTGGTAATTCTATGGATTCAAATTGATAAGATTAATAAATTTATATCTTCTTTTATAATACAAATCGGAAAGGGTAAGTTCCACTCATTTTTGTTAAATTACAACTGTGTACAAGGTTTGTTAGTATCATTGAGAAAAAAATCTGCTTAATTTTATAAAGGGTGGGCCTTCATAAAATTTACCGCTCACTTTGGGCAGGTCTATGACCAACGTGCTAGATAAGATTACAAAAGATATTATTTTAGAAATTAAATATTATTATGATAAATCACAAATTTAATTTTTTTTGATATTAGGAGTTATCGCGGACAAACGATAGGAATAAACTAAAATGAACGAAATTGTTAAATAACATGGAATCGAACCATGATTTATTTATATCACCGATTAAATTCAAATTTTAAAAAATAATATATTTTTAAATACGAACCACTCTAAATTTTTTTCCCGACCAATCCCAAAAATAAGAAATAATAATTTCTCAATCAACGGTTTGGTAAATTAAGTTTTGAAGACCCTATAACCCTATGACCTAATATACTTATTGAGATCCAAAAAGCCCGCTAGCCGGAGCGGATAAATTTTTAAAAATATACCAGAGCGGGCCTGGCAAAAGATTTAACGGGTCGTGCAACTTGTGCAAAAATTTTTATCGGGTCGAAGCGTGTCGGGCTTTGTTTTATATTCTAAAAAGGTGCCATCATCGATGTCGAGGAACAAATGGAATGATTTGACAAATTTTTAATTATATTTTTTATGTATTTATTGTTATATCTAAATTATTTATAAAAGTTTATAGTATATATCATATTTTATCGAAATAAATGGATACAAAATAGATTACATTAAGAAATTCTAAAAAATTTTCAAATATTATAAACTTGATAAGAAAGACAAAGTTATATGCAGATTGAGAAAATATCTTGAAATTTCATCATGTTAGATAATGAAAATGATTGAAGAACGAATATTTGGATAAAAATATTTGATTTCATCATGAAAGATTTTTTATGCATAAAAACTCACAAAAGACATTTTGCAAAGAAGTTTTCTACTTGATCATTCTTGTGATATTTTATCATACTGAATTAAATTTCAAACATAATTTCTTTTTAATATTTTAAAATATGTTTAGCTCGACTAATTGCTTCCACTTTTTTAAGTTCAAATTAAAGTTTTTTTCAAGATCAAATTTTTTTTAAAAAAAAATTAAATTTCCAACATAATTTCTTTTCTAAACATGAAATTTAAGCTTATTTCTTTTTAATTCCAATATGTTATAAATTAAAATTAATATAAAAACTATGTTTGTTTGTTTACCATTTTTTGTTGTATATTTAATAATGACACATTTAACTGATATAACATTTTTTCGATTAATAATATTATTTTATTTACAAAATATAAGAACTTTTTATTTATTGTTTTATTTTCACTGGATGGGACAATTTTTAATCTTTTATTACTTTTAATTTAAGGATTAATGTAGTAGGATATTCTTTTATATTATCATTTCAAAAGTATTATCCAACCTTGCTTTTTCATCCTAATAATTTTTTTAAATAAATCTGGGACATTTTGGTTTTTATTCTACCCTACTACTATATTAAATATTATTAGATAGAGAGAAACGACGACTTCTACAACGGGGGGGGGGGGGTGATATGACGTAATAGTCACTAAAATTGGGGGGGGGGGGGTAGGATGGGGTAGTTTTGATTTGGATTTCCTTTTTTTCTAATTTTGATTTGATTTTTTATTAATTTGTTAATCTAGATAATTTTATTTTTATTTGTTAATTTCGATTTAGAATGGGGGGGGGGGGGGGGGGGGTGTAAATATTTTTGCACTGAGTTAATAAAATTTAATTTACAATCACTAGGAGTTAATTAAAAAGATTAACTTTAAATGAATAATTTACTCTCAGATCACACAGGCTTCTGGCTAGACTTTCAAATTTGTTAACAATAACGAAAATTTATTTATAATTCGAATTAACTCTAAAGTTTTACTGTAATGTTTCATAGAACAACTATAAAAATATTTGAACGGAGGCTCATTATAAAAATTTAAAAAAATTTAATATCAATATGCTTAAATATATTTATACCAATAAATAATAATTGTCAAAATATAGCTATAGTAATATTAAATTTTACAAATTTACCATTTACTAAATTCCATAGCATTCTCCAATCTAAATTTCGAATTTGATTTATGAAGTTATCTTTAGATTTATTTGGAAATTTTGACATCATAGATACATTTTTCACTTTCACATTATTATAATTTATTTTGGAGATATTAACTTGTTTAACAAATTTTCTAATCCCCTTTTCGATCTTTAATATATTATTCTTAAAAGTGCGATGCCTTTTAGTTAAATTAAAGGCGCCTTGAATTCGATTCCTTTTCAAATTGATTTTTGATTTATTTTTTATTGAGGTATGGTTAATATTTTGCTGCTTGATTAAGAAATCATTGCTATTTTTCTTTAAAGTAGGTCTTGACTGGCGATTAATAGTTTTGTTTAATTTCAAATCTTTACTTTTATTAGTTGATGATTCAGTAACCCATTGTTCTAGGTTTAACATCTTTCTTAGTACTCCTAAAAAATCTGAATTAAATTCATTAGAGGAACCTTGTTTTTTAAAAGAGGAATTTTTGTTTGGTTGGATAGCCCCCACACTTGGATCATAAAATGTCATTTCCACTGATTTATTCATCGAATCAGAAGTCAAATTTCGTATCAGCGGATGCGCTATTTTTAAAAAATTAGAGAATGGCATTTCGTATTCCAAGATTTTCGGCGGACCTTTAATAAAGGGGTGGAATTTATTTAGTATATTATTTTTTATTCTAAGATGAGAGTTTAGCTGGCTAAGATTTGTTTTTTCATTTCGTGAAACGTTTGTATATCCAAAACATATTTTATAAGTCAAATATATCTAGAAATATTTAATTATAAATATAAGATATATAAAAAATAAATAAATAACGGTTTAAATAAATATTAGCACTTCAATTTATTACCCATAATAGTATGATCATTCTAAATGGTATTTTATTGAGGTGCCAATTTTAAATTTTTACTCAAAATTTTAAATTTTATAAAGATATAAATAAATTTATTAGGTCAAAAAAAGTTTTGAATTCCTCTTTTAAATATCAACTCTAAAACTTCAATTTTTATTGTAAAATGTGAAAATAGAGAATAGGTACGAGTGCGACGTGTTAAACATTTTATCTATCTACCTATTAAATATAAGATGGAAAAGAAGCTATAAAATTATCTTTTTTTTCATCATTCATTAATATAAAATAATAATGTTTATTTCAAACTCGTTTTGAAATCGCGGATGTGTAATAAAATTATATATTCACTTATAAATAAAATTAAAATCTCTTCATATTTTATATGATATAATAATTTATTACTTTAGTATTAAGATTAGGATAGGATAGGTCATAAAGGTTCAAATTTCTTATTAATGAATTTTAAGTCTAATTTATCAATATTTATACTTTCGGGGAAATTATTTAAAAATGAATTTAAATGATCCAATCATTATGCCATGTATATTATAATGACAGCATTTAAAATATTTCAAAGATAACTGTATTATTCTTATGAGTTACGAGAATAGAATTAATAATAATAATAAAAAAAACATATATTATATCTCTTAGCTTTAATACGCCCATAATAACTTGGAATGACCGTTTTCAGTCACACAACTATACATTTATTTAAATATTTTTCTACTTCTGTATATTCTTCTAAAATTGAATTGACTACACTTTTAATATTGACGCCTGTTTTCATTTCCATTATGGCCAAAACAAATATTTATAATTCAAAATCCTTAATGATAATATGTCCTGTAATGGTTAAAAAACTTCGATTTTTATAGTCATCCGTCCAAAAATCAGTGGTTATGGACAAGTAATTATTCTTGATCATGCCTTTAATCTTAATGTTAATTTCATCGTATATTTATGGAGCTATAATATTCATAAGAGTTTTCCGGCTCACAAGTATATCTTTTATAATTTGTCCATATGTAACACTAACATTTATTAACTCTTGGCCTAGCTTGTATATTCCTTTACTTTCTGCTGCATTTAAAGATCGAAGATCTTTACAAATAAAATATAACTGACTTTGTAAATAGTATAAACAAAATTTAGCAAAAAGTCCTAAACCAGATGATGTTGTTTATAAAATGCGGAAATTTTTTGTTTTCAAAAATTATTCTTTTCTAAAAAAAGAACCAAACTAGAAAATATATATTATAATTATAAAATTTTAAATTTATATTTATAAAAAAACAATTTAAAAAATTAAAATTTCCGTAATTCACGGAAATTAATGTTCACGCCCGATCACGCCCTAGGAAAATTTGAGAAGGCCCGTCACGCCTAATAATTTAATTTATTCACACTCACGCCGTGACCCACCGTGACACGATAGGTCACGCATAATTTCACGGTCCTTGCCCCCTTCTAATTTGGACAGCCTTAGTTAAAAAACAAGTAAATAATATTTTTTATCTTAGTAATTGTTAAAATAAAATAAAATATTAATTAAAATAAAATTAAATTAAATTAAAATAAATTATAAAATAATCATAATAATTATAAAAATATAATATAAAATTAATTTAAATAAATTATTATATTAATTAAAATAAATTATAATATTAATTAAAATAATTTATAATAATTATAATATTCGAATAACCATTTATAAAATATATCGCGAGTTCTACTTATGACCTTTTATAAAATACAGTGTTGTGATGATTTAATGAAACATATTGATGATTTAATTAAACCCATTCATATAAAATTATTTTCTTTGCAAAAATAATTAAAATATAGGCAAAGCATTATTGAAAATTCTTTTATTACTCCTTTTATTATTTTAATTATTTTTGCAAAGAAAATAATATTATATGGATGAGTTTTAATTTAATCGTCAATATGTTTCATTAAATTATCACGACACTGTATATCGCGATTTCTACTTATGACCTTTTATAAAATATATGGCGATTTTTACTAACTTATTTCATTTATTTTTATATTCAAATTTATATTATTTTATAATACTATATAAACTTAAAAATTTAGATATATTTAATCATAATGTAAAAATCATTTTTATTTTAATAAAATAGTTTTCTTAATCTTAGCCTGCCATCATGTGTTTCCAACAGTAATTAATTATGAGATACATATTATTTATACAGAAGTAATTATTCTCACACTGATGACATAGACATAAATTCATCTAGACTTAGACCCATGTTTCTCTAATCTATGGCTAAGGAGGTATGTGTTAAATTCTCAACTAAATATGGCTCCTTAACAACAGTTCTTATACAATTTCTTTACGCGGATATACCATATCAAAAAATGTAAATGTTTTACGGAAACGACTGTACTCGGAAGTTTGATGGGTGGTTTGTAAGCTGTAGTAAACCCTAGCTTATAAGCTATAATTAAAGGGTGGGGAGGGGGGGGGAGTAAAGGATCTCCACTTGTATATTGTATGAACATTCTCAAATTATACACTTTACTGATAAAAAAGTAAACCCTTTTTAAATTTCAGAATTCTTAAAGTCTCGCGATACTCTATCTAATAAGTCTTTTGTATCATCATACGATATCGGATTTTTTATATTTTTTAGTTTATTGCGATGCTTTTCTTATATTACCAAAATTAAAAAATATTAAATTTTATATAATTTAAATAGCTGATTATTTAATTTTGATAAATTTTCATCTATGTCATCAATAGAACCCTAGAGTCAGTTTTGCAAAATATATTTTTTATTGATAGGGATGACTCCTTGATAAAAATTTGAAAATATATTATTTTTTAAAATCAAATAAATATATATAATTTTTTTTATATGTTAATTATTAATAAAAATTTCTAATATGAAGTAAAAAAAAATTTGTATTTGTATCGGAAATGTATTAATTTTTTTAAACAAAATAGAATCATGGAGTTATTTAATTATTTTATCTTATAACATCAAAGGGTTAATAAGATTGTTGTAAAATGCTACCTTTAAAAGTAGCTCGCTATCACTACTGATATTTTACAAAAAAAGTATCGCACTATCGCTATCGTTATTTTTTTAAAAACGTAACACACTAGCTACCTTTTACGCTACTTTAGAATTTTTTTAAAAATATTATACGCATCTCTATTTCCACAAATAAAAAATATATGTATAAAAATATGACTAATCAAATATAAATATAATTATTTTTTATGCGTCTAGAGGATTTTCAATCGTATTACAATTTATTTTAAAATAATCATCTATAGTAGGTGGCATTTTTTATCTGGCTAGGGTCAGTCCAAAAAATATTACAGCAATAGTTATAAAAATTATATAGTAGATAAGTGGCATAAATAATCATGTTTGCTGACTGGCCAGGACCACCCTTTATTTATCTATTGAACCAATTTCTCTCAAAATTGGTCAAAATGTGAAAGGATTGAAATAATTTTTTTTAAATATATAAATAAATGAATTTTAAGCATGTTTAACATCCAGATAATAAAGATAATAATTTACTTATGGGCAGTTGAAACATACCATGTTTAGACTGTGCCAGAAAATCAACTTTCACATAAGCTCATCTAGTTCTGAAACTGTTATAGATACAGCTTTGATTTAAATTTTATTTTAAAGATTAAGGACTGGGCTACGCATTGATAAATTTTTTAGAAATAATACTTATAAATTTTTTCTCAAGTCTAAGCTACAAGTCTTGCTTGATGATAAAACCTTCTAGCATATCATACATTGAAATTTATAAATGGTGTTAATTTTTTTTATTGAGATTATAATATTTTGAGAATTTATGAAAAGGGAATTTCATATTATCATTATTTTCCAAGGAAATCACTTTGTCGATATAATCTGATCTCTATCGTCGACATTTAAAATTCTAAATTATTGAAAACTATATTTATAATGCAGATTTTTAAATATAAATTTAAAAATTAGATTAAATAAAAAGAATATGATTTTAGAATTAATTATAACTTCGCTACTTTCTAAATTAATAGATTCCGCTACTTAAAAAGTATAATATCTCTACTATCCTTTTCCAAATTCCTGAGGACGTTTTGATTTATAGAGTTGAATTTACTATACTTTTTATCATTTTATTATAGCAGCTGACTAAGAATTTAGCTTCGCTTTAGAGTGGTACGTTTATAAAATCTGAGAATCAATTTTTATTATATTAATATTAATTTTATCATTAATTCCTATAAAAAAATTTTTTTAAATATATATATTTACCTTTTTCTTTAACATATCTAATTATATTTCAAAAAATACAAGTTTATTAAAATGTATAATTATTATTAAAAAAGAAATATTTGGATTAATAATGGATTATACATTCGATCAGCTGTTATATTGCACGATATAGCTCCACTATAAATCTAGCCTTCATTTGTTTGCCGGCCCGATCTAAAAACGTGACCAACATTCCTGAAAATATCCCATGAAAACTAAATTTTTCAAAATCTTTTGAAAAATTCCACAGAAGTCGAAAATCATAAAATAATATTTTAAAAATTTTTATAAAAAAATGTAAATTTTATAATTTTTATATTATGATGTCATTGCTATTTTTACGAATGAATTTCCAAACGTTTAATAAAATAAATGTTATTTTATTTATAACTATGATATAACCTTTTCCCAAATTACGCCTTTCACACATGTCATATATAATATGAACTTTCTAGCATATATCCCAACTCGAATAGCTGCTGTCACGCATAAACGCGTTGGAGGAGGAACTTTTAGAGGAGCTAGGCAGAAATTTAATTTTAGAAATTATGACGAAATTGTTATAGAAAATATTTTAGTTTCAGCATTCATTAAAAATTACAAATAATCT